AAACACTGTCTTGAAATTTGATCACCTTTTTGGTGTTCAAAGGGACATCAAGATAATTACTCCAACATTATCCCTAGTAGCAATTATATTCCAAATTGATTTTCTTGTTTTCTTATTTATGAATACCCTAGTAGCAATTATTATATTCCAAATTGATTTTTTTGTTTTCTTATTTATGAATACCCTATTAGCAATTATTGTTGGCATTTTGTTGGGCCATTTTGAAGTATCCCTATTATCAAAATCTTCAAGTGTAGTTGTGAATGTAATCTTTGAATCTTATAACGTTAAATTTAAAGTAAAGGGAATAGAGTAACTAAAACGCCACCTCAGATCTCCCCAACGCCCACCCGTGGGCGTTAGCGTCCACTTTGGGAGCATATGTGTTAAATGAATATCGAAAATTGATTATCTCAAAAAAAAAGTATCAGACGGGAGAATAGTATTCTATATCTTAGACTTATTTTCACATGTAGAATGACATCCTTTCGAGATGTACCATCAGTTCTGGAACACCCTGTATATAGGCTACAAAAACATAAAATATCTCATGAAACAAACATCATTGAGTTTAGAATTCCCTACTCTATCACTATACTAAACCTCATTAGAAAGTCAACGTTACACCTGAGGACCTCTGTTAGACCCTTTTTTAATCATTCTGCACAACAGGCTACGTACTTTCGTCCATTGCAAGTATTTTCGTCCCGTTCACCGAGTAAATCAACACTATCAATATTATCCTTATTGATTTTCGTACATTTCAGCCACAGCGTCGAAGTGAAATTTTCGTTGCAGAGAGTGTAGAAGAATAAAATGTTATATAAAATTATTAAAGCCAACTATGTTATCATACTTTTGGCATTTAGTTTGTAGAAGTTTACCGATTTATGGTCCAACATTAATAATATCAAAAAGTATACTCTCTAGAATGGGGGTCACCGATGACCCTCACGGTATTCAACGTGTTAAAACCACCCCTGTGACCGCTTCCAAACTTTCGTTCTTCAAATGCGAATCTCGCGCGCAGGCGTTCTATTGCACCCGGTTCTCGAAGTAAATTTCTGACGATCCACACGGGGGAACCTGGCCTAGCTCTGTCGCCCAGAGAACTTGAAATTCCGCGCGTTCGCCGGACGAATCAATGTGACAAATCGTCCATTCCGCTGGTCTTCCATTTCGCAAAAGGATCCCGAGCGTGGCTCTTTTCCGCGCGGCGACAGCAGCAACCCTGTGTTTCGCAGCGATGTAGAAGTCCGGCCCGTTGAAAACCTACATGCACCCGTTCCTCGCACGGCTGCCTCTGTATGCAGATCGTTCGTGCGTGCGTACACGGGCGTGCGCGCGCGCGCCCGGGGATATCCTTCCCCAGACAGTTTATTTGCTCCTGCT